CCTGGACAGGCTGGAGAGTTGGGCGGGGAATAACTTGATGAAATATAACAAGGGAAAGTGTAGAGTCCTGCATCTGGGCAGGAACAACCCCAGGTTCCAGTATAGATTGGGGAACGACCTGTTAGAGAGCAGTGTAGGGGAGAGGGACCTGGGGGTCCTGGTGGACGACAGGGTGACCATGAGCCGACACTGTGCCCTTGTGGCCAAGAAGGCCAATGGCATCCTGGGGTGTATTAGAAGGGGGGTGGTTAGTAGGTCGAGAGAGGTCCTCCTTCCCCTCTACTCAGCCCTGGTGAGACCTCATCTGGAATATTGTGTCCAGCTCTGGGCCCCTCAGTTTAAGAAGGACAGGGACCTGCTGGAGAGAGTCCAGCGCAGGGCAACTAAGATGATTAAGGGAGTGGAGCATCTCCCTTATGAGGAAAGACTGAGGGAGCTGGGTCTCTATAGTTTGGAGAAGAGGAGATTGAGGGGTGACCTTATTAGTGTATATAAATATATAAAGGGGGAGTGTCACGAGGATGGAGCCAGGCTCTTCTCAGTGGCAAACAATGATAGGACAAGGGGAAATGGGTACAAACTGGAACACAAGAGGTTCCACTTAAACTTGAGAAGAAACTTCTTCTCAGTGAGGGTGACGGAACACTGGAACAGGCTGCCCAGGGAGGTTGTGGAGTCTCCTTGTTTGGAGACATTCAAAACCATTCAAAGCCTGGACACGTTCCTGCGTAACCTTATCTAGGTGTTCCTGCTCCGGCAGGGGGATTGGACTAGATGACCTTTTGAGGTCCCTTCCAATCTCTAACATACTGTGATACTGTGAGACACAAGAGGTTCCTCCTGAACATCAGGAAACACTTTTTACTGTAAGAGTGACTTAGCACTGGCACAGGTTGCCCAGGGCAGTTGTAGAGTCTGCCTTCAGAGATACTCAAAAACCATCTGCACACAGTCCTAGGCAGGACACAGCAGCCTTCTTCCCAGCCCTGCTGGAGCAGAAGAGTTGGATAAGGTGACCTTTCTAACCTCAACCATTCTGGGATCCTGTAAATATTAGATTAATTTCTAAGTAAATCACTGAGCAAGTGCATTATTCATGAACAAAATACACATATTTGACTACAGAGTGATGGCCTATATCTTCATATAAATAATAGCTCAGCATCTTCCATACCTTGAAACTTATTTTTTAAAGACTAAATGAAACAATAAAACAAGCACAAAACAAGCCTAGTTAGGCATTTTTATCAGAGCATATTTATTGCAACTGTTGTGACTCTTGTATGCATTCTTGTAAGTATGTATTTTTGTAAGTAAAACTCTTGTAAGTATTCATGGAACTTGTATTATTCTTATGATTCAATGGAAGTCTTCCAATAACAGGAACTGTGTTTCTTCCATGTTTGTTTACAAGGTGACTAACATAGGTGACACTTTCTAGACTATTTAGCTTAGAGAAGACTATGATGAAATATGCTTGAGAAAGTTGTAAATTGAAATTTTACTCTTTCCACTACTCAACACAGGAGTTAGTTCCTAACCCTTTTAGTAGAGCACATTTTAAGCTACAGTAAAAGACCTAATTATATTCCAACAAAATACAAACATACTGTATTTAAATGCTATGCTTCTCCATTACAGTTATACTGTATTTAGCAATTTATTATTTTTTTCTGGTCTCAAGAGTCATGACCTAAATACAATAAATGCTTTTCGTAAGGGTGCATGCAGCATAGACTTAAGTACACTTTCCTTAGAGGCTTCCGCTGTCAACAGGCAGCTTTGGGAAGAACAAGACCACTTGTGAACTAGATTCTTACTATCAGAAAACTTATTTTGCACAGAATGCTTCTCAACTTAACCGTACTATCACGTAACTCTTAACGGTTCTAGTAAAAGTATTCAGACTCATGCTTCATTCTTTGTGTGAGCGATCCCACACAAAGTAAAATGTCTCCACAGTAAATTTTGAAATAAAGAACAGGAAGGGGTGTTCTGGGTCAAGTTCAGAGGTTAACCAAAGGTACTATGATACATAAATATCTTTTACAACAGCTTGATCTTGAAAACATTTTTGGGTTTTCACTCTGTCTAAAAAAGAGGGATTCTGAATGTCATTCCTTGGTAATTCAAGACCTTCTGATGAATGACAATATCTTTACTCATGGTACCCTATATTCATTTTTTCTTCCATCAACATTATTTTTTGGCTTAAACTCTTTCCTCCCTCTTTACATAGTCACTCCATCTTCCTGCTTCTCCAAGAAAACCTATGAAATAATGCGTATCCCCCCTCACCTCAGTTTTTCCCAGAAGTAAGAAAACTCCAGTTAGTCTTTTCACACAGAAGGTGTTATTGCCTCTTTGCTCTAGCACTGTTTTCCTGAATCTCTTCCAATTTAAGGTTTGTCTAAATCATTACTGAACAAAAACCCAGGCAGAAAGGTTCAAACCAGACTTTAACTGCATTCTCCTCTACTTCTCATAGAAATCTCTTATGTAATACATTTGAGAATGATACTCATCTTTTTCACACCCACCTCCCATAGGCAGTCCACAACTGTTGTCCAACATGTACTTTCCCTGTCTCCTACTGCTACCTAAAAAGTCAGAACACAAACTTTTGTTAACTGCTAGATATAGAGCCCTAATCTTTGTACCACGCAACATCATCCCATCTCTGTTACTCATCCTTATGTACTATCATACTCATTCCCTTAGGTAACTGTTCAACTCAGTTTCGTGTCAACTAAAATTTCTACTGGCATGCTCCCCAAACATAACTACTACTACTACTAGCCTCTTCCTTCCATTCAATCTCTTCTGTAACTGATTTTTTTTCCTCTCTTTTATTATTTACCTTACTAATTATCTTACTCTTTCTTACTCACTAAAGAAAACAAGTGCTAAAAATATTTTTTGATAAAGCAAGACTTATTAGATGTAACATTATAACTAAATAATAATTCTCATATAGTCATCATATATTTATGAATTCTTCTATTAAATCAAATGAACACAGAATTCTTCCTCTCTCCACAATAAAAGCACTGGGCAGCATATTTTCATGGGGTCATAGCAGCATATGTCAGGCTGCTAGCAATGCAAGCTTGTCATTCATAAAATTATAAACAGAAAAAAAATTATAAAGGTACTGGAATATTTCAAGTCCATAAAGGAAGCTAAATAGTACAGCAGTCATAAGGAAGTTATTTTCTTGGAAGACTGTATTACTAGACTGTTACAGGCTTATAGAAGCATTGAATTACTTACATGAAGATTCTAGACAACCTAATTGATGAGAAAAAAAATCTGGTTCTGCTCTAAAAAGTGTAAGCAGTATGTCAGACAGTTTGTCATGTGAAACACACATCTCCATTTAGATACATAATGAATACGATCTGAAATATGCATGCTTAGTAGTACAAGGTAGTGCAAAGTGATCACCTGACAAAACAATTACATTTAGGGGGTATTCGGCTACCATCCAAAAACACACAATACCAACATTTACTAGAAGAAAAAAAGATTGAAATAATATCATGATCCAGTTTCTTAGAATTCCCATTTCTTTTAGGCTCTTTATCACATTTATTATGAATATTATTTTCCTTAGCTAGTCTCCTGCATTTTAGCAGTTTTGCTTATGTGAGACACAGAAACATTAAGGGTTATACATCTGCTATAGCTCAACAGAAATACCTCACTACAGGCTGACAGCGCCTCTGTACTAAGTGGCACACCCCATGAAGGTTCACAGATGCAGAACCTCCTCTCTTCATCAGATTTCTAGCAATAAATCTTTGAATAAAGGATCTATGCTGTGTTTCACTTATTTCTTACACTCTGCTATGAAAAGATATCAGTGGAATAGAAGCGCAGCTGCCCAGAGGTTAGAGAAAAACAAACAAAAAAAACCCCAAACCTCAACAAACCCAGAACAGCTTGATTCTACTGTATACCAAGATCACGGCTACTCCTTTCTGATTTACCCAAGCCAAGTGTAGTCATTCTTATTGCCTGGAGCTATTGCTGAAACTGGTAATTCTATTATTCAAATAATTAAAGTCTCTCTCTTTTTCAGCTCTATCCCAAGATATTCCAATAACCTACAGGGGTTAGTCCTTCAGCAACTGCTTCTGTTCCCTACTCCAGTGGGTGCCTTTTTCATCTTCTGTCTTTAAAAACTTTCTCACTAATTCATCTTTACCATCTCCTTACTCTAATCACACAACTGAATCTGTCTTCCTTTTTCTCTAACCACTGCCTGACAGGTTTATGACTTTGCCAAGACATGTACGGCCAGGCTCTCATGGCTACCATCAAATTCTTTAGTAAGTGGCAGTTCAGAGGCACAAATAAATTAGCATGGGGAAAAACTGTGGTTTCAGTGATGGTGTATTTCAGACCTCTGGCAGGACTGAACTAAGATGTTTCTTTGGTTTTCATTCTAGTATATTGAAAAAATAATATTGATATAATGAAATATAATATCGTATTATGATTTTTACTTAAGTAATTAATTTTGCAGTTCCTAAAAAAGACCAAGGTAATTTTAGGTAATGAGATTTATGTAATTATTTAAAAATTAATGAACACAAATATCACTGGTTCATGTGGTTTTGTGTAGTACCTTATTTAACCTATATAAGCTAGTTTCATTACTTGTTTGTTAGAAACACCCTCTTTTTTTTTTCATTCTTATCATTTGATTTTTAATTTAAATGGTCCTGCATCTGTTGTAAATGCTAGTGCAACAGCCAAAAGAACCAGTAGCTACAGGCTTTCATCTTGGTCTCCTTGAAGTCAACAGCATTACTCCTACTCTGAAGACAGGACCCAAAGAGGTCAAACCAAGTATTCTTAAATCAATAGGAGTTCTGCAGCCAACCTCGATGGGAGCAGAATTTGGGCTTTAAGGAATAAATATTGATTAGGATTAAAGGAGCATTAAGTAGAAAACTGGTGAACCAAACCCAAAATCTTTATAAACTACATACCTGAGGCAGTGCTGAATTCAGCTGTCGTTGGAGAGAATCTCTGTCGTAGATGACATCCTGTAGGCGCTGCTGTGCAAGTGACAAGCTTTCCTGTGTCTCCCGAAGAGTATCAAGGAGACGGTCCCTTTCATCCAGCATGTTCACCATCAGCTGCTCAAAGTGAGAATCCGAGTCCGAGCCGCTGCTTTGGGACCCCCGTTGACTCATCGGGGTGTCCTCATTTATCGTTGGCATCACTTCACACATCATTTCTTAAAAAAAAAAAAAAACAACCACAAATCAAGGGAAAGTTCTTCAGCAGAAAAACATTTGAAGGGATTTGATAAGAGAAATTAACTCTGTCACATGGACACAGCAGATTATTGCATTGTTCCCTCTTTCAACTTTGTGCTTTCCATGTTAATCAGATCGTCAATAGACAGGGATTAAATACAGTGACTAATTCCACACAGCAAGGACTTTGAATGTGCTTCCTAAGCAGAGAGAAGAATGACTGGAAGGAGATGGAGGGTAGCGGAATATTTTAAACTAATAGTTTTGCAAATAATGCTCTCTTAAAATGACAGAAAAGACTTCCTCTGAATTTTAGTTTCCTTTATCATTGATTTTCTCCCCTTTCTTAATGTCATTGTTGAATTGTTGGTATTGATGCCAGCAGCTGCCATTAATTTCCAGATTTTGTTCTGCTCTAGGCATTTCTACAGTACAGCTTAGGCTAACCATTGATCCAGTATCATGCTGCCTTAACAATGCCAGGTTAATCTATTTTTCTATGTAGTTATTCCCACCCTTGGGGGAAATTATTCTCCAGTGAGCTTGTTCAGTAAGAGGTCAAAAACTAAAAACTCACTGTTAATTACCATCCCTGAATTACCAGGGTCAGAACCACTGTTGTTGCTTTCCTAAAACCAGTCCTAAGCAGAGCAAGTATCATCTAGTCCCATTCTTCAATTATAAAGCTTCTTATTTAAATCTCAAACCCTAGTTCACACATGGGGAGAAGCTTATGCTATGAGATACTGGGTCCAGCAAACGGGAGAAAAAAACAGAACAAAACAAAAACCCAAGCAAGCAAACAAGGAAGCAAAACCAAAACCACCCAAAACCAAACAAAAAAACCCCCAAACAACAACAACAAAAAAAACAACTCCAAAGATAGGAGAGGTCTCAAAGCTCAGATTAAAAAAAAAAAAAAAAGATTGTGTTAATAATAGATGACATCTACCCAATGACGTTCATCCAAAGACTTAGAAATAGTTTTTCTAGTTTGACTAAAGAAGTACATGAGGCATAACTGTAAGTTTAAATTAACCTTAAATTATATTAACCTTAAGTTTAAATCAACTTAAGAGTTAATTTCTGGATATTCTGTTATTTTAGTAACTATTGGAAGACTTTTATGTCAACAAGTGGGATCAAAGTAAAATATTTTACTTAGAAGTTTGCTGTGAACTTTCTGGACATGATCTTTGTCTACAAGGCACGTGGTAGACACATTTTCACTGTTAAATGTGTCATCGTGTAATATTCTCACCATTTTACTCTCACTATTATGATGGATTAGCTCTACATTTTCTTAAATCTGATCTGCTTTCCAAAGTAGGAAAATGGAACTTATGAAAGTGGCATTTATGAAAAATGGAAGATCCAGCTGTTACAGAATGTCACTTAGACAGGCCATACACCAGGCAACAAAAGAGCCAAGACACTTGTTAACTCATTAAAACCACCTCCTCCTACTATCACTAAGCCACAAGCAACCCTTGTGCTAACACTGCTTGCTGCTTAGATTTACCTTGATCATGTTCTGCATGTTCATGCATAGAATCATAGAATAGTTAGGGTTGGAAAGGACCTTAAGATCATCAAGTTCCAACCCCCTGCCATGGGCAGGGACACCTCGCTCTAAACCATATCACCTAAGGCCTCATCCAACTAGCAAAGCTACCAAAACTACCAAACACTGGTATTTCAACATGAATTATCAGCTACTACTGCATAACCTTCACAGGTAATGGCTTAATTTCTGAGGTTTCATATAGGTCTTGATCATGCTTTTAAAGTGTCTGGACTGGATGAAAAATAAAAGTTGTTTGCAACTATTACCCATTTAGTAATTAATTAGGTGCAAGAGAAACAGCTAATAGCTTCACAGTATCACAGTATCACAGTAGGTTAGAGATTGGAAGGGACCTCAAAAGATCATCTAGTCCAATCCCCCTGCCGGAGCAGGAACACCTAGATAAGGTTACACAGGAACGTGTCCAGGCGGGTTTTGAATGTCTCCAGAGGAGATTCCACAACCTCCCTGGGCAGCCTGTTCCAGTGTTCCGTCACCCTCACTGAGAAAACTTCTCAGGTTAAGTGGAACCTCTGTGCTCCATTTGTACCCATTACCCCTTGTCCTTCATTGTTTGCCACTGAGAAGAGCCTGGTCCATCCTCGTGACACTCCCCCTTTATATATTTATATACACTAATAAGGTCACCCCTCAATCTCCTCTTCTCCAAACTATAGAGACCCAGCTCCCTCAGTCTTTCCTCATAAGGGAGATGCTCCACTCCCTTAATCATCTTAGTTGCCCTGCGCTGGACTCTCTCCAGCAGGTCCCTGTCCTTTTTAAACTGAGGGGCCCAGAACTGGACACAATATTCCAGATGAGGTCTCACCAGGGCAGAGTAGAGGGGAAGGAGGACCTCTCTCGACCTACTAACCACCCCCCAAAGCTTAAAGTGATAGATACTGTAAGTCCTCACATCTCTAATATATCTAGGTCAGGTATATTTACTCAGGATTATCTGATTCAATGCTGCATATCTCCATTACTCATGAGGTTCAAAACTTTCTCTCACACTTTTGCCTCTTCTAAACTACAGGCCTCACTAGGAAGCACCATAATGTCCTTTCATATTCAGATGTTAACACATCAGCACTTCCATCGCCAAAAAAACCCTTCAAGTTGAAAAATATGTGTGCCATTACCAACTGACCTTCATGGTACCTACCACTTCCTCTTTGGAGTATAGATACCGTGTACTGTGAAGCACCACAGACAGGGAGAGTGACTGAACTCTGCAGCTGGACCAACAGAACAGTTTGAATAAATGAGTACCCACCCTCCTATACTTCAATTTCCTATAGAGGCAGAAGAGCTTTTGGGAAGCTCCTGCTGATGTAACAGCTTTGTCCACTCTCCACACATACCATGATATGTGGGACTACCAGCAGGGATAAGCCACTGTCTTGCCTCCACAAACCTCTCACAGTGTTGTGGGAATACATTTCACTCAGCAAACAGCCATTACCTGTGGAGCATCTCCACCCAGGTCTTGTGACTAACCAGTTTGGGATGGTCAAGGCAACAGAAAGCAAAGGGACAACCAAAACATCCAAGGCCATCTGTCACTCACTCAGTTTGATCATAACTTTTCTATATGCAGCAGGTGGCCAGAGACCAAGGTGGCCATTCTTCAAGACCAAAGGAAACAATTCAGATTGTCACTGTACCTTTCCTGCCTCATAATCATCAACATCTCTTGGAGTTTACCTCCTGCTTCAGGGGATTCTCACTGGTGAACCTTCATCACTCAAGAAATTACCTCCAATGTCCTGCACAGCAAATGACATGGTCTGAACGGCACAGCATACATTGTGACTGCTCACAGGCAGCGGCAGAGTGAGTGGCGCAATTTTTCACACATGCTGGTATGTGTGTATGAACAGGCAAGGAAACCTCTGTGTGAACAGCTGTTGCTATCTCAACTCTTTGTATTTAAACTAGAAAGAAAATCTTTTCCTACAGCCATTATGGGGTTGCAGGAAGTCATATATATGTAAGTGGCTGTAGGGCAGCAATGGAATCCATGGGTTGAATGCTCATGGCACTGTTACCACATCTTCTCCCTCAGCTGCTGCATTCAGGGAGGGGAGTGGACCATGCAGTGTGGTTACCTTGGAAGGCTGGGCTGCATTACCATGACATGACACAAGTAAAAAACTTCTGCTCAGTAAGATCATGGAGGGCAGGGAAAACGGTTGGAGTTCCAGATGCAGGCAGTTTCTATTGGAAGTTTTCTCCCATAGCTCACAGCCCCAGGAGAATCTTTATAAGATACAGGAGCTCTTGAAGTCGGACTGGTGATGCACATTGTCTTCAAGCAATTTGGAGATCAATGCCATTTGTCCATCGGAACCATATACTTCCTCTCCCTTTCCCCACCCTCAGATTGGAGACAAATACAGAAAAGCAGTATGCTAACCTGGGCCAGATCAGAAATGCTGGTAGGTCACACCAGAAAGGGCTGTGCTGACACTTGCAACGAGGAGCAGGGGAAAAGAGAATCCTGGGCCATGTCCTCACATAGATATTCTGTGGGAGCCAGCAAGGCCCCCAGAACAACCTTGAAGGGAACCCAGCTTCTCAGGGTATTCCTGGGTCATCAACTCAGAAAAAACCGAAATTCCAAGCAACTGCTTGAAACTGTGGGGCTCCCAAAGAAAGATTTCTTACAGGTCTTTGTGAAAGACATATATGCCATGCTCTTCCAATTTGTTATGATTTGTGTCTTCTTGCCCTTAGAAAAGCATTTACATGTTTTTCCCTTTTTAAAAAACAAATAAACAAAAAAAAAAACTGCGGGGAAAAAAACAAACAAAAACAAAAACAAACAAAAAACCACACCACACTTTATCTGGCATTTATTACTCATGCCGGCCAGCAGATGGGATGCCTTCAGTGTCCCAAGGCTGCCACCATTTAACACTGTTCCCAAGAAATGCTGGCCTTCTTCCAGCATATGTTCAAGAACAGAGCCATTTCCCCAGGACCTTATTGCACCTTTTATCAGTTTTTTGCTTGATAGCTGAAAGGAATCAAAATACTGAGAATATTTAAGAAATTTAAAAGAACAAAGAAAAAGAAAAAAAAAGGAGAAAACAGAGGTTATTTCAGAGGGGCTGCAACAAAAGCAAAGGCAGGTAAAGCAGAGCATGAACTTCAAACCAACAAAAATAGAGGAAAAGCATCATCAAACAGCCCAATCACAATTTAGTAGCTGAAGACATGCAGCTGAGGACAAATAGGAGGGCACATTTGCATTTGGATCTTTATATAGGAAGAGAATCACGTCAGGGAGTTATAAGAGTTCTTGAAGTTTCCAGAACCTTCTGATGGTGTGTGCAGGTACTAGACAATCCTTGGTTAACCACATGCTGATGTGGTCCACACACAGGGTCAGGGCATTACTGTTAA